GAAACACTTATCGATTGTGAAGACAAACAACACTTCAGACTATTGTCGCTACGATTGGATCAATTGAGTGACAAACAAACGGAGGAAACAAATGAATCCCAAGAAGTGAGACAAACTCGTGGCCAAAATAAGAGACAAAGATCTCAAGAAGTAGTGAAACAAAAGAGAGTTTACAAGAAATCACAAAAACCACGAAAAGTAGTGAAACGAGAAGACAATGATTTGACGGAAGAAGAGGTCACTAATGAAGACTCGGATGAGATTGAGTGCAAAGTCTGTGGCAATCGGTGTCTCACAACCGGAGGACTGAAACATCACATGAAAATACATGACTCGCAGAAGAGTGCGGATGTGTTTCGACAACAGTGTCGGGAGCTTAAGGACAGGTGCTATGACTCGACCACTAATACCTATATCTGTGACCAAACGGGTTGTATGAAGACATTTAATAATCTAATTGAGTTTAGAGAACATCTGATTAGTGTCCACACGAGTCGTGATGTTGTCTGCGATTATCCCGAGTGTAACAAACGGTTCAAAACGAGACAATTAATGAAATCGCATTGCAATAGAAGTCATACAATGGATGAGAGTCTGTGGATGAAGACATCGACCGCAGAGACAGTCGTGAAGAGTATTAAACGCTGTAAAAGACGTAAACCATTGAAACGAAAGCCGAAACAACTGTCTGTGAACTCAAACTCAAAGCCATTTGAATGCAAAGTGTGTGACAAACGGTGTTTAACGGCCGCAGCGCTGGACTCTCATATGCGAAGACACGACACGTGGAGGTTTGAAAGGGATCGACAACAGCGTCAGGAGCTTAAGGACAGGTGCTATGACTCGACCACTAATACGTGGATTTGTGACCAAATCGGTTGCCAAAAGACATTCAATGCTTACCATCAGATAAGAGTGCATTTGTTTAATTTCCACAAGAGTCGGGACATTGTCTGCGAATATCCCGATTGCGGCAAAAAGTTCAAACTTTTGTCAACAATGCGAAGGCATTACCGCATTATCCACACCGACGACAAACCCATAAAGTGTCCGCACGAAGAGTGCGGACAACGGTTTATAGATAAACACTATTTGAAGTCACATTTGGTTACCCACGAAACTGAACGCCGATTTGTCTGCGATTTCATTGGCTGTCAAAAGTCTTATACGAGTCAAAGCACTTTTGAGACTCACAAACGGATCCATTTGAGTGAACCGACCATTAAGTGCACTGTCGAGGGATGCGCTCAAAAGTTTTATACACGCAATGAGGTGCACAAACACCGGGCGAGTGTCCACTCTATGCCCCTAAAGCGCTGGGCGCCTGTACTGATGCCGTGTCTTTGGCCGGGCTGTGACTTTAGGGGTACTAATAATCAACTAAAGCGACACGAAAGGACACATACGGGTGAAAAGCCGTATGTCTGCGATTGGCCCGAATGTGGCAAACGGTTCGCCCGACCCGACCATTTGAGAGATCACAACAATGTCCACAACAATGTCAAACCTTATGCCTGTCATTGGCCCGGATGTCAGTACCGGTGCAGTTATCGCCAGAATATAAACATACACTATAAACAAGTGCATCAAAAGTGATCACATATTTTGATAATTATTGTTAATTTAGTGTAAATATTTAATTCACTTTAAATTATCGATTAAATTATTAAACTAGCTAATAAATAACTAGTTTCTTATGAATGTAAAAAATGTTTATAAACGATAATATATTTTATGTATTCAAACAAAAACTTAAATTATTGTATGAATTGTTAAAATTGAATAATTTTTATTAATTTCTGAAGGAAAACGTCTTCAGCTCCAGCACATCCAGAGGAATACCAATAAGACAACCACTTTTTCTATACTTACCATTGTTTAACTCATTTCACATCCAAATTTCAATGTAAACCTTTGCCCCCATTTCTAATCCTCGACACTCTTATAGCAGCCCTAATCCTTAACTCAAATATTGCAGTCAATGCACTTCGCAACCAGTTTTTACCACTATTTCCGCATACAAACAAAACCATGTATTTCCCGATTCTGACCACAATTGCCGATAACTACTCCGATGTCTTATTCATAATTACCTCACACTTAACATACGCTGTAAACCGATATCAAACACTCCGCTGTCCATAGCCTATACATAACGTATTACGACTTCGTATACCATACTTACTGTACAAAACTATATATCGAACTATAACCTAAAGCCTGTAAAATATACCAATAAACTAACGAGAGTTCACAATACAAATCGCTGTCCGTTACTCTGCCCGACTCCGGGACGGAGTCGGGCCACACTTTATCCATTCCTTGTCGTCATTCTTTGCCCGACTTCGCCCACACGGCGCTCAGTCCGACCTCGCCTCGGCTCGTAGGTCTTGGCCATACATATCTCTATACTCGTGCACCCATTCATTCAACAGTCCGACTTCGCATCCGATCTAAGTCAAGTCACCCGTATCTATACTCTGTGTTTACCAGTACTCAGCCGAGAGTCGCCCACTCATACACTCGTTACCCACCGTATCATCTCGTCGGCAAACCACTCGTACATACAGTCCATTATCCGACTTCGTTCACTCTTCGTCACAACCTCTCAACGCATCCCACAATCCGACGGTAGACCTCGTCGTTCCAAGACTTTGGTCATTAACTACCGTCCGACGGGTCGTTAGGGTTCCCGAAGCTCACGCGAACCCGACTTCCGTCACAAATTATTAAACGAAAATTTTTTTTGATTTAAAAAATTATTTTATTTATGTATGATTTGATTACAAATTGTAATACAATTTGAATAAATTAATAAATTGTCGGCAATTAATGAAAAGTCCCCTAAAGTTGTCAACAAAAGTGAAGGCATTTTCACTCAATGTTTTGATTAAAAGTATTTAACAAAAATAATTTATAAATTGTATTAAATTATGGTTAAAATGAAGAGAAATAAAAAGTCATTAATAATTAGTATAGACTATTGTCGCTACGATTGGATCAATTGAGTGACAAACAAACGGATCATACAATAGGACCACAAGAACTGAGACAAACTCGAGGCCAGAAAAATACAAAGACATCACAAGTGGTAAAACAAACTGATAGTGATTTCGTTCATAAAGTGGTGACTAATGAAGACTCGGATGAGAAGAAGACATCGACGACAGACACAGACCTCAAGAGTATTAAAGACAAGACATGTTATAAACGACGAAAAAAGGGGACAAAACGAGTGAATCCAAAGCCAAAGCCAAAGATATATCGTTGCGATTACGAGGGCTGTGCCTATCGGTGTCGAGAGGCCGTCCGTCTGACGGCTCACCGCAAAACCCATAACAACACTGCACTCGAAGCGCATCGACTCCAACGCCTAGACCTTCACCGCCGGTGCTATGATTTGGTCACCAATTCATACATTTGCGACGAAACCGATTGCCAGAAGTCATTCAAAACCTATTACTACTTGCGATATCACAAGACTAGTGTCCACACGAGTGCCACCGTTCTGTGCGCTCATCCCGAGTGCGGCAAACTGTTCAAAACGGAGGACCGAATGCGCGCTCACCTGAAACTGGTCCACAGCGGCGACGACAAGAGGCGGCTGTTGTGTCCGCACGAGGGCTGCGGCCGACGCTTTCTATACAATTGCCATTTGGACGAACACGTGGCCAGTCATGCGACCGAACGGGCGTTTGTGTGCGATTACGACGGCTGTGGTAAGAGTCATAAGACAGAAAAGGTGCTGAAGAATCACCGCCGCGTTCATCTACCGGTGCCCACATTCAAGTACACTGTCGACGGCTGTCCGGCGCCGGCGTTTTGGACGGGAAAGGATTTGTGGCGACACCGCAAAGCGGACCATCAGATTTGGCCCAAGAAGTACGAGCGGCCGCCGCTGCCCAAAACGGTGTCGTGTCAGTGGCCGGGCTGTGACTATACGGCCAACAGTAACAACAAGATTACGGCACACCAGCGGACACATACCGGTGAGCGGCCGTATGACTGCGATTGGCCCGAATGTGGTAAACGTTTTCCCACTCCGAAGGCGCTTAAGGACCACAAGAATATCCACAATAATGTGAAGCCATACGCCTGTCATTGGCCCGGATGTCAGTACCGCAGCTGTAATAGCGGTAATCTGCATAAACATGTTAAACAAGTGCATCAAAAGTGATCACATATTTTGTAGATTAATTAGCCATCAAATAGTGTGGCAATCATTTTGTTAATTCATCTTAAAGTTAAATAATTAATAATAGTTATTGAATGTATGGTATGACTACTTTTTTTTATAAAATTGTAATAAATATTAAATTATTAATAAATATTAAAATACATTTTTAATGAATCGTACAATTAATTATATTATTTATATATTTTACAGTTATAAATATATTCATTAAAATGCAAACAAATTTATTGTAAATTGTGACATAATTTGAATGAATTAACAATTGATAGAAATGTATGAAAAGTCCCCTAAAGTTGTTGTCAACAAAAGTGAAGGCATTTTCAGTCAATGTTTTCAGTTATCGTTTGTTTTGATTAAGAGTTTTAAATGTAAACAAAATTTATAAATTGTTTATAAAATTATGGTTTTATTGAGAGATAAAAAGTCATTAAATATTAGTATAAATGATATTTTGGATGAATTAATGGCTGAAAACAAACTTTAATTAAAATTCACTCAAAATATGAAACACTTATCGATTGTGAAGACAAACAACACTTCAGACTATTGTCGCTACGATTGGATCAATTGAGTGACAAACAAACTGAAGATACAAATGAATCCCAAGAACTGAGACAAACTCGAGGCCAGAAGAAGAGACAAATATCTCAAGAAGTAGTGAAACGAGAAGACAATGAATTCGTGGATAAAGTGGTGACTAATGAAGACTCGGATGAGAGGAAGACATCGACGACAGACACAGACCTCAAGAGTATTAAAGACAAGACATGTTATAAACGGCTGAACCGAAGGCCAAACCGAGTCTTCAAAGTAAAAGCAATTCATTGCGATTACAAAGACTGTGACTATAAGTGCCGATCGGACGCAGGACTGGCCTCTCATATGAAATCACATAACAATCCGAAGACCGAAGCCTATAGACAGCAACGGCTATCACTTCACCGCCGGTGCTATGATTTGGTGACCAATTCCTACATCTGTGACGATATCTCGTGCGGGAAGTCATTCAAGAGTTATCGTCGACTGAGCGCTCACATCATAAACACCCACTCGAGTCGTGATCTCAGCTGTGATTACGCCGAGTGTCGGAAAGTGTTCAAAAACAGAGACTCAATGAGAGCTCACTTCAGATACGTTCACATGAATGGGTCGGAGAAGCCGTTTAAGTGTCCGCGCAATGACTGCGACCG